TCGATTTTTTCCGAATTTCGAACATTGCCCAACCATTCGATTATTCGATTCGAAATTCGGTGGTGCGAATTCGATTAAATTCGAATTTTGCAAAATTTTTTTGAAGTGGAACTTCTTAATAGAGTTCGGAGATGTTTGCGTTAAATATTTAACACCAAGTCATAAAACCTGTATCGTTCAATTTAAAAAAGTTAGGGGTCGAATGGCGAAAGGCTTCTCTTTTGTGTCTGCACCATAGTTTTAGTTCTATGAAATGGGTTACCACAGGTTAGAAAATCAAATTCAAATAATCGCGCCCGCAGATGTTTGCGTTAAATATTTAACACCAAGTCATAAAATCTGTATCGTTCGTTTTATTTTCAAAAAGGGGGTAGGTGTCAAATGAAAGGCCCTGTAGATGTGTAACATGGTTTTAGTTTTGTGCCATATGTAAGAAAATCAAAATCAAATTATTTAATAAGTTAAATAGATTACTTCAATATGGGTATCAATCGAAATGGTTTTGAATAAACTTTATTTTTTAATTACATATAGGAGGGTTGGCGCCTGTTTGAAAAGTCGAATTTAGTTATAGAAGTGTTGCACTTAAAATACTATGCAAAAATTTACATTTTTTTGAGAGAGTGGCCACCTGTTTAAAAAGTTAAACTCAAATTACACTGTGCGACAGCCGAACCCCCCGGACTTTGTTAACATTTTCTGAATGTATACCCATTAAGTAGTAAAACGCTCGATGGATTTGCAAAAGTTAGCTCGTATCTTTTTTTATGGCCTACTAAAGTTTTCATATCTCGGCCTAAGTAGTTTTCAAAAAAGTCGAAAAATAGTTAAAATAAATGTCGGAGGAAATTAAAGGTTTAGACATATATACTAAAATTTCTTGGGAAATATTTTCGTAGAACATTTTAACCCATTAGCTACCGCCTAAAACGGTAATTTTTGACACTTACTTCAAGAATAATTCGATTAAAATTCGAATATCGAAGCCTCGAATATCGAATTTACCCATCCCTAGTTCAGCCTTATTATGAGTTTCATTTTCTCTGAACCGGTTCACTCTTCGTTTCCATATATTCACTACAGCGGATAAAAAAAAATTCAGCCGATAATGGGCATTATGTTGCAAATAAAACTTTATAAAAGTACAAAAATTATTGATTACGCAGGCTTACAAAAAAAAAAAATGTATGCATAGATATTAAACCAAATCAATATACCCCTATGTTATTCGACACGCTGAATGCGAATCCGAGGTCCGTTAGCCTCCATCACGTCAGGTTCGTGGTTAGTTGAATGCCAACGACATGGTATCCGGAATCCGGTTATCCGACAAAATCTCTATCCGGCACATCCATAATTTCAACTGACTACTTTTATATAATGATGTCGCAAAAGAGTCGGTTTTTGGTATTCTCGGCTTTAAACTCAGTTTAGATTAATACCTATGTGCATATGTATATTAGACTCCATCACTCCCCATACAACAACAAATTGGTACTATTTTTCCATTGGAATTATAAAATCTATTACACTTTAAGACGTCCACCAAAATATTTCGAAAAAATATTAAGATTTAGGGGAGCTGGACCAATTTCAAAATACCTCCAAAAATGGGGTTTTTTTATTAATAAAAATAGTTTCTTAATTTTTTTTTTTTTTAAATCCCCTCAAATGACAAAACGGTTTAAGCTTAAAAAATTTGCATAAAAATTTTATAAAAAAATTTTTTTTTAATTTTTAACGGAATCGTAATGATGAGATTTTTGATGCTGTTTTTTAACTGTTTTCAAAGATTGGTATAAGAAAAACTTGAATAACTGAGCCTAAACTCTTCTGATTTAGACTTAAGAGGTGTCGGTGGAAAGGTATTTTCTCACCCTTTTTATTGCTTTGCTAATAAACTCATTCAAAGGATGAAAGGGAAAGGTAACGAACGCCATTCAAAGTTGAATTAAAATGTGTTGGTATTTGAAAAAAAAAATTGGGACACGAATGCCTTTTTTTTGGACAGAAATAAAAACAGTGTGACAATACCTTTCTACTGAGATCCCATAAGTCTAAATCAGAATAGTTTTGGCCCTGTTATTCAAGTTTTTCGTAAATCAATCTTTGAAAAAAGTAAAAAAAAACAGCATAAAAAATCTCATTCTTACGATTCCGTTGAAAAGATTTTTAAACATTTTCATGCAGATTTTTTAAGCTTAATCTGTTTTGTCATCTGAGGGGACTGTTTGCAAAAAGTTCTTTAAGAAACTATTTTTATTCACAAAAAACTCCATTTTTGGAAGTATTTTCAAATCGGTCCAGTCACTTAAATCTTAATAGTTTTCCGAAATATTTTGGTGGACGTCTTAAAACATAATAAATTTTGTAATCCCGGCGGAAAAACTGCAACTTTTTTTGGTGATGCAGTCTAATATATACATGACTACCTTTAAATGTATCTTTATGTATTGAATTTATTGGCTTAGTTCATTGAAAATATTTGAGCTGAAAAGGTGTCATAACAAAGCGCACATTACTGAGGCTGCCGCAATGGTTGCCTCAACGGTAACCTCGTGTGTATTGAACAACAAAAACAGGTTACCTCCACACGTTGCTGCAACGGTTGCCCCGTGTGTAGTCAGCATTACGTTTAATGACAACGTTTGATTTTGCTTTTTAAAGCGAGATCTTTAAGTAAAAAAGGAACAAAATAATAGGGCATGAAGAGTTCTATCGAGCCACATCTTTCGTTTGCGAATAGCTAAATAGCGTCTGACTCGCGAGTGATCTGTGTACGTGTTGACTAGCATTTTGAGTGCACACAGTTCAGTGCCACACATGGGCTTCATTTTAAATTTCCAATATTTTGCCCAAGTGTCTTTAGAATAAATGAAAAAAGATTAAAAATACATATCGGAGAGAAATATGTTGTTTCGTGACATATAGTAAAATTTTACGAGGAATAATTTTTTAGAACTGTTTAACCTGTTATCTCCCTAACAAAAGGGTCATTTTGGCCTTTTTTTAGAAAGTTCGAAAAAAATGGCATATTGAAAGTTGCTAGAGGGTTAAAATCTTCTAGAAAATTATTTGCCATAAAATTTCAAAATATTTATACAAAGAATCTGTAAGTCCACAGAAAATAAAAATATGCCACAACTTTTTATGCTTTATTTTGTATTTCGTTTATATATATAACTCTTGCTCTTTTCAGACCTGATGGTTCGGGAAGTGTAAAATCACCATCGGAATCATCGCTGTGATCAGAGTATGAGTCACACATGATGCCCACATGTGATTCCAATGCTGGCTCTACTGCGTCGTCTTGAAATTCTTCATGATTACGATCCTCAAACACTCCACCAACAAATTTTTGTAAGTATTGCATCCGGTGCTTTTTTTCCTCTATATCTGTATTGTTTTTTTAATAAGAATAAATTAAAATATTTTTGTGTTACAGGTATTTACTACCTCATTTCAAATGGAAGAGCCACTTGATGGTAGCGCTCGCCGTTCTCATCGGACTCAGTGGATACCTAGTTGCTGAAATGAGCCAGATGTACTTTTTGGTACATATTTACCACAGCAAAAGCTGTTAATATCTGACTTATCGGCTTCCATTTTACTTTTTCAATAAAATTATTACGTTCTATCCAAAGATTATTTACACTTAGGTTACTTGTGTAAACAATTGGAGCCAGAGTTACAAACATGTATGAACAATATACCTGTACAAAATAACGCATTAAATTTGTTTTGCATATTGCAAGGGGATATATGATTTTTAATTTTCAGTGGACTTACATATTCTTTGTACAAAGATTTTTTCTGAGAGGACCCCTAGTGAAACTTTATGGCAAATAATTTTCCATAAGATTTTAACCCTCTAGCGACCTTCAAAATGCCATTTTATTCGGACTCTATAAAAAAAGGGCCAAAACGACCCTTTTGTGAGGGAGATAACTGGTTAAAATATTCTACAAAATTATTCCTCGTAAAATTTTACTATATGTATGTCTCGAAACAACATATTTCTCTCCGAGAAGTTTTTTACTCTTTTTTCATTTATTCTAAAGACACTTAGGCAAAATATTACAAATTTAAAATGGCCAGAGCAGAGAAATTTAACCACAGAATGCAAAACGATTTTGAGGTTTTACTATATGGACGCAGGTCTTTCATCCTGCGTTGGAATTATTGCGCCCCAAAAAATGCTGTTGCACAGTGTTATTATTCCATCATGAGTGCACTTATCGAACAGACCTAATTTTTTTCGATTTTACGTTTACACCTGAATTACATGATTCAAGTACTTGAAAGCAATTCATGCCCATTCTCTTTTGTGTTTTCTACTTGCTTTTACACGCTTCAATTCTGTTGAATTCAAGTTTTTGTAGTGGTATTCACCAAAGCAAGGCGGTATTAGTCCTCTTTCAGACACGTCAAGTCTTGAAAGCAATTTTTTTCGCATACTCTTTTGTGTTTTCTATTTGCTTCCACACGCGTCAACTTTAGTTGAATTCAAGTCCTAGGTTCTTAAATGGGAAGTAACGAAAATATCAAAAGAGACAAGAAAACTTAAAACGTATTGACGGTACGGAGGTATCTGTACTCTTCCCACCTCCTTCGCCAACGAACGAGCAAACTTGAAAGCAAGACTTGACGTGTCTGAAAGGGGACTTACTGGCGAATTTAGATTTTCGCCACGGTACTTCCTAATGTCAAAATGATGTGTTTGCTGTTAACAAGGCGAATTCATATTACAAGACATCATTTTGACATAAAGTACCGCGGCGAAAATCTAAATTCACCTTGAGCACCACCTTGTATAAATTCGCCTTGCACTAAAGTGAGCAAGTGGCTTGGCAGTCTGGCAAAAGAGCAGATCATCTTCAGGCCACTTGCTCAATTTGGTGAATACCACTATTAATTTATCTGTCGCATGTAGCATGTTAATTTGATGGCCAAAGTATTTGCTATCAAACGTTCATTGTGGCAAGCACTGGTTTGTTTGTTTACATCACAAACACCACTATTTGACTCTTTTATTTAACTAAATAAGAGTTAATTAAACATGACAACACGTTTTAAAGCGTTTTAATGAATCATTTGAGCTAAATTGTGTGTTTAAAGTGTCTGGCAATAATTTTGGTTTTCGTTGCATTCTTTGCTTTGTTTACTTTTCTTTCGTTCTGCAGCTAAACAAGATGGCTCAAAAAATTTACTTTTTTCACTCTCTTATTCTTGCGTGATCTTGTGTTGGTGGTTCATGAAACCAATCATAAAGTTTATCAAATATTTGACTTGTGTGGCAACACTCAAAACTAAATTAATAAGTTGCTGAGGAATTACCGACGAAGTTTATACATATATTAAAAAACACTGACATTTAAAAAATCATAAATAACTAAGCCAAAATGTATAAAAAATGTGTTGTTTTAGTTATACTTTTCAGTGCTCATATATCGAATGGTTAGTAAAACTGCAGACAACTTCGCGTTCGCTTTAGTTGAAGTCTTTTGTTCTGTTGCTACGTAGATACACACATACATAAACACATTCATGTACAACACATATTTTATGTATATATGTATGTATGTATGCACATTCAATGTTTGCAGCAAAGTATGGAATTGAAACCTAGATTTATTTCTGGCCGAGGAATGCCACAACAGCAGCATTCCCAAAATTGGTTGGGACATGCTGTTACAACCACAACCGTTTCCAACTAACAGTCGTTCGTCGCTATCATCTCGATAATCTCGATTTATTTCTGGGCAAGGACTGTAATTTCAGAAGAGTTTGCCGAAGATGTTTGGGGAATGTTTACGCTGTTACAACACCAATGACAGATACAATTACCATCGGGGCTATTGCTGAATCTTTCTTAGTCCGATTGAATCCTAATAGCAGCAAATGTACATATGTATGTAGCATACGTTTTGATGTAGTATATGTTACCGGCCAATCCCGATCTTAGGACAAACTCGTTTTTCCTAGGCTAAACTGGTTCTATTAAGATCCAGTACATCCGTCCAACGCGGTAACAAGCTCGACGCAACAATACTGTGTACTGCGTAGCTGGAGTTATTTTTTTGAAGCACAGCCCAAGGCCGCCTACGCGGAAAGTGTTCGGCGGCAAAAATACTGTGGCTCCTGATCTAGTTTAGCCCAGGCAAATCTAGTTTGTCCTAAGATCGGACTTGGCCGGTAGCATATACATTAGCGTGGGCCGAAAATCCACTTTTTTAGAATTTCGATTGGTAATAGCAAAAATTTGGTTCGTTATGCTCTAAAAAAATCTGTGTGCAAGATTAAAATTTTTGGTCAATATCTTAGGCTCGCCCAAGTCCATCAAAGTTCAATGTGTTCAAAAACTAAAAATTAATAAATAAATTAACATATTTTTTTTTACTAAAATTGCAATTATCTTCGAAAGAATTAGTCCTACATAATTTGGTATATGGACCATTTTTTGCAGAGAATCGAAATAAACAATTTTTTTTTTTACCACTTGAATTTTGATGGACTTGGGTGAGCCTAAGATATTGAGCAAAAATTTTAATCTTGCACACAGATTTTTTTTAGAGCATAATGAACCAAATTTTTTGCTATTACCAATTAATACAACAATACGATGATATACATGCATATATACATATGTACATACATTTTCCATACGAATGTTCGTAACAATTTTGATTCACTTATTGCTTTTGTGTAGATTTCACGAAAAATCGCAGTAGGATGGAATCACCAATAGCCCGAATATCTGTAAAAGGTCTGAAACTTTAAGAAAAAGCTACTGAATCCATTGTAGTCCAATTTTTCGACAAATCTACGAAAATGCTATCATTGAACTCGAATAGCGAATCACGAAAAATTGGACTACGATGAATTCTGTGACAGTGACCATTATGTGTCGATAGTTGGAAGAAAAAATGAATTTGACCTAGAGGTATTGTCCATTTTTTAATTTTGTTTCATGCCAAAATGCGAAATTACCACGTTAAGTCCATAAAGAACAGCGTTAAATAATGGAAATGGGGGGTGTCTTCCTACTTTTTAGTAAATTGTGCATCAATGGTTGCAATGTTTTTATAGTTCTTCATTGGCTGAAACGCGATTAATTCAATGATTGATGTTGTTGTTGTTGTTGTTGTAGCGGCACTACTAAGCCCCGCCCTTCTCGGGTCTACGTTCAATCATTTTCGTCAAGATCAACTAACGGGAGGCCCAGGAAACGAGCTGTTTCGATGGGTTCGGACCAGAGGGAGAGGGGTGTTAGCTAAGTCGGATTGAGCTGGCATGTAAATAGGTGGTTGGTGTCGTGGGGGGACTCTCCACATGCCGGGCACTCATTGGGGATATTGGGGTCGAGTCTGGACAGGTAGCTGTTAAGGCGGCTACAGTATCCAGACCGTAATTGAGCCAGGGTAACGCGGGTCTCTCGTGGCAGTTGAAGCTCCGTCTCTTCTACAGGTGGTGATTGGGCTCGTATTACGGCATTCATAGGTCGAGAGTCGAGGTAGGTGGTAACTGACTCTCTATGAATGTCGTTGATGGCTCGTCTATATGTCGTCGGGTCCAATGGTTGGTCCACGTACTGTTGGACTGCGTCCTTGTACACGAATAGGTGCCCCCTGACGTGCCTGGGCGGAGGCTCCTCCCCAAGCAACGGTCTGTTAGTGTGTTCACTTCTGTGACACCCCACAAGAAATTGCTTACATTCCCAAGACAGCCGGTTCTACGTACCGGAATGACTCGGGTTTTACCCAACCAAGGGCTGTTGTTTCGGCGACCTAACCCCGCTTAGGTCGGCGATACCCCTCAAATTTCAATGATGAATGGTTAATTACACCGAAAACTTAAACTTATATTTACTCATGAAAATGTCCCTGCTACATATTTGAAACTAGTTACGTAATTGAAACAATTCTCAGGGACCTGTTAAGACTCCATTCAACCCTCAAAATACAATAGAAGCAGTTAGGAAATAGGCATACATTTGGTAGACACTGTTCGAGTATAATTATAGCTTTTGTCATCAACGAATTTCTTTTCTTTATAGGTTTATTACGGCGCTGTTATCAATGTCGCTCCAGGGGCGAACTTGGCAGCTGCAAAGATCCATTTAACTTTAACGCAACTGATGTTGAACAGGAACCTGGTTTGGCGGCTATACCTTGTGCATCTGGATGGTGTGGAAAAGTGATCGAAGGTGGTGGCGCATATGCAGTAGACGGTAACCGAGTTTCTCAACAGTATACATACATATATACATACTATATACGAATCAACCAATATATCGTTACCTTAATATAGAAAGGCCGTATCTCACACCGTGGCTGAAATGCAAATACGCCTTAAGTAAATAAAATTTTTAGTGCATGCAACGATGAGGGGACTTATAATTCAATGAAATGCTCATAATCAATAAAAAAAAAAAACCGAATTTGAATTTATAGTTAGCTACGGCTTTTTGTTTTTCAGCGACGATGTGAGATAGAGCATTTTTATATTAACGTACCGATACGGGCAAATTCCAGCGTTGCGGACGTTTCTTTAAATTTTGTTATCAGCAAAAAATGTATGTTAAAAATGTTTTGGTATGAGGGAAGGTTATGAGAGCATACGACAGTCGGGTCTACGTAACCGGAATGACCCAGATTCATATCTGGCCAAGGACTGTCGCTACAGCAAAATTCTTTGGGAAATTTTGTATGCTGCCCAACAGCAGAGCAAAATAATGAAAATTTAACTTTGAATTATTGGATGGATATTTGCCCTCGTTACTCAAAACTTTTACTTTTATGTTTTTTGGTCGAATTGGGGTTTTCGTATTGTTATCTACTTTATCCTCTTCAAAAATTATAAATCTTGGCTTTAACGTATGTATGTATATGCATCAAAAAAATTGTATATTCCCCATAACAATACCCAATTATTTATTTGCCCATTTTTGCATAGTAGCTATATTTTATAGGTCCGCCAAAACCCCCAGAAAATGTCATAAAATGCAATGGGGGGATAAATATAAAATCTTTAGTATTAAAAAATGGTTAAATAAACAAATGGCTATTGTTTTTGGAAGTCTCCTGAAGAGAACCAGAGCTTTCTGATCGAAAAATATTGATTTTCAAGAATCCCATACCATTTCTACGATAAGTTCTTTTCCCCCTACATAAAATACATAGAAAACTTTGAGCGCTTTGAGCCACCTCTAAATATTTTTTGATTTCAAAATAAAAAGATGGGTATATTTTTCGATATAGTACAATCCTAGGGGGGGAGAGCATTTAAATTCCTACTTTACTTATTTTGGACCAGCATATATGCATACATAAATACATATGTATTTCAAATATTTTTATTCAGGCGAAACGCAACATTTCCTGTTAATTCCGTATAGTGAAAAGAAGGAATTTCCTGTTAAATTAAATTGTGTTATATAATCTTTTTATAATATTAAAAATAGATTTTATCCAATTGTTTTCATGTGGAAGTAGAGGTTATATTTTCTGATCTATCCAAAAAACTTATTAAGCTCAGTTATTGCATTTAACTATGGAACTTGTCTTATACATATACATATAAAATTGAAATTTATTCAGATTACGACCAAGCAATTCAGCGAATGTGTGTGCAGCGGGGGCCAGATGACAATCAGGATCGATGTGCCAATACGGTTTACAATTACAAAAAAGTTTACATGTGCTTTTGCCAAGGAGACCTATGCAATCCTGCATCGAGAATTAGAGGCACCACTTTTACTTTGGGAATTACTTTCTTCGCACTTATGCATAATTACTTATATCGTTACTAATTTAAGTCTTCAATTATTATGTGCTGTTAATATATTTTCCCAGTCACTGCGACCATAGGCCGATTACTCAACTTCACAGAAAGTGTTTTATGTGAATTTGAATGTAGGTACGAATGTTGGATAAATACTTACAATATATATATATTTTTTAAATAAGCGGTTTTTAAACAATATTAAATAAAGAGAAAAAATAGTTATATTTCAATCAACATAATAACAATTAAATTACTCTCGTAAAATTCAAAGCCCATAAATCAAACATTAAAACTAGGCGAATTGTGAAAAATGTGAAATGTTAGCTTATCCTTTAAAAAAAAGTTACTTTGACTAATTTTTATCCTGAACTCTCATTCTCCTGATCGCTTTTAATAGTGTTGACAATGTTAAACAGTTTGCGCATTTGTAACTTGTACATCTTGCTCTCCTGTTGTAAGCTGGCGCGCCGATCTTTTTCGTGGGAGAGTTTTTTTTCGAGATCTTCTGCCGTGGAATGCAATTGCTTGTATTGTTGTGCTTCTGTTCATAAAAAGATTCAGAGTTAAATTCCTTAAAAAGACAATGGAACATTCCTACCTTTATTTATTTGGATTGGGTGTGAACGCCTACACGCCGGACATAAACACAACTGCATATTTTGTATTTTAGAATCTATTTCTTCATGATACTCCGTTTGACATAATTGGTGATAATATCCTTTGCATTCGACACATTGTTCAAAACAACCTAACGAAGAAGTATTTAACAGTTTTATGTGATATATTTTATATGATATATGTATGTACCTCCACTTCTAAGGCACTCATTGCAACAGCGTTTTTCATCTGGCGAACTAGAACTAGATCGCGAAGTTACAATATCCTCATTTTTTTCGATATTTGGGCGTTTCGGACGTTTTGATTGTAAATCACGTTTGATTTGAGGTGAAAGTAAGAATGCTTTTCGCTTCTTCTCTGGCGGCGGATAGCTACCATACTGAAAATTAACAAAGAATATAATGTATGTATGTACATATATACATGCATACATATGTATATGTATTAGTAATGTGACCAAGTATTTCAAAGCTCAAAGAAGTACAGGACCTGAGAAAATTGTGTTAAAATAATGACAAAAATGGTAAAGGCAGAATATACAACAATCCAACAAAGTTAATTTTTTAATTAACAAGTAAAGAATTATAAGTTGGGTCGGATTAAATATAGTTTTTTTCACCTTTCTTTAAACTATGTACATGAAAAGCTCGTGGTCTCCCCCGATTACAAACATTTTCGAATTACACTTAGTGATATATTTAAACAAATGAACTGGGGGCTTGGCAGAAATGGGTGAAGTGCATAACCGGTGTCGTGCCCATTTTCCGAAAATCTATACGTATAATAAAATTTTTACAGGCCGATGTCTGTACATAATAGATATTAAAGAAAAATTAATATGGGCGGTCTTTATACGAGCAACAGAAGCCAAATCAAGAATTTTTGGGAAATTTTTATTGTCTGTCTGTATAGAAATAGAAATAGAAAGCAGTTTTCAACGATGTATTAAATATTGCAATATGACTGTCAAAATAAAGAGGTTTCAAAAGGCTCACAGCCGAAAATTTTTTTTTGGGGAACGTTGCAACCTGTTTGAAAATTTTTGTTTGTTTTAATTAGTAAGATAAATTAAATGTTGCAATATGGGTATCAAAATAAAGAGGTTTAGGAAAGTTTGCTACGGGGAATATTTGAGGAATATTTTAAATATTATAATTCTGGTGTTAAATTAAATCGGTTTAAGGAAGTTTACTGTCGAAAATACTGTTTGAAAAACTTAATTCAGTTAAATTGACAAGATAAGGTAAATATTGAATAAATACAACTTTGAAGAAAATCGCGATATGTATGTAGACTGCAGTTATAAGAATATAAATTAAATTTCCATGAGAAAGCCGAGTAGTATAAAAAAATAAAGAATTCTTCATAAATCAAAAATTTGTTTGAAAATCTCCCATCATAAACCTCTTTATTTTATTTTCCAAAAATCAGGCCATACGAGTCTTGAAAGGGAGGAACAATCCAAAAATACTTTTTTCATGAATTTATTGATATGAAATATTAATTTATCTGTCGTTAGTATGTTAATTTAGTGGCCAAGGCATTCAGTGCAAAGCGTTCATTGTAGCAAGCATACTTTTAACGTGCGTTCTGTCAAACCAACGCCAACGCCAAAGTCTACAAATTTTTATTGATTGAATAGTACCTTACAATGAAATTTGTCAGCTACAGATGTGAAGTGATTGACAGTCATAATTTACATATCGTTGCCTGGGTAAAAGATTGTCGTATGTCAATTTCGGCAGTTTGTGGGAAATCGCGATTGAAGTTTGGAATACAATTTCTGAAAAACGCGAAGATAGATTTTCTCCAAAGTCTCTGAAAATGTTACTAGTTCTTAAAATTCTTCAATTATTTAATTTTTAATGTTTACTGTTAATTAGTTTTGAGTTTATGAAGGATTTTCTTTTGTAAAATTTTGTCATAAGCGTCATTTGGCAGCCACTTTGTACGAGATACGACAAAATGTGATCAAATTTTCTACCAAATTAACGACACTTTTTACTCAATATCTCGGAAACTAAAGTATATATCCGAAAATGGAGAACGCCATTTTTAAGATATTGATTAGTTTAATATGACTGCATCACCAACTAAATTTTTACTAAATTATCGAAAAAGTTGTAGTCAATATCTCGGAAACTAAAGGAGATATCTAAAAACTGATAGCACCAATCGAAAGACCTTATTTCAAAATATATAACTGCCTCTAGAACTAAAAATCGTCAAAGTGGCGCTTACGACATTCTTTTACCCAGGCGACGATATGTGTTGATCTACAGGTACCCTTTTAACTGAGATGACTAACCTTTTAGAATTTTTCGTTAAAGAAAACTCGTTCGTTTCGTTTCAGTTAAAGAAAACTCAATTTAAAAGGTAGTACAAAATATTGCAAAGTAGTACATTTGACTGTACGAAGTACAACGGCTCAAAAAGGAGTACTGTACTTCCGAAAGAAGTACGGTTGGTCACATTATGTATTAGGCTGCATCACCAAAAAAAAGCAGCGGTTTTTTCGCCGGGATTACAAAATTTATTATATTTGAAAACTTCCACCAAAATATTTCGGGATAATACTAAGTTTTACGTGAGCTGTACCGATTTGAAAATACCTCCAAAAATATACTTTTTTTGTAAAAAAAATAGTTTCTTAAATTACTTTTTGAACAAAAATTATTACAAAAGAGCCTAAGCTCAAGAAATCTTATAATTTTTAAAGATAGGATTGAGAAAAACTTGAATATCTCAGACAAAACCATACTAATTTGGTTTTATGTGGTATCATTGTAAAAGTATTTTCTCATCTTTTTTATATCTTGGCAAATGAACTGATTCAAGGTATGAAAGAGAAAGGTAAGATGAACGAACATCATTTCAAGTTGAATAAAGATGTGTTGATGTTTGCAAAAAAAGGGATGTGATTGAGTTTATTTGCAAATAAATAAAAAGGGCGGGAAAATACCTTTCCAATGGTACCTTGCCTAAATGAGTAAAGTTTTGGCTGAGTTATTCAAGTTTGAAAAAAGTTTAAAAACAGCATCAAAAATCTCATTATTATGATTCCGTTGAACAATTTTTGGCGCAAGTCTTAAAATATAATAAATTTTATAATTCCAATGGGAAAACAGTACCCATTTTTTTGTATGGGGAGGGATGCAGTCTAATATACATATATACATATATTAATATACCGAATACTTTACCTCAATGCGCCCATAGTGAAAATCCGCCCGCTCGTTGTTGTGTACAGAACGGCGTTTGCGTTTTGATCGCCTTTGTTGCATCTGGACAAGAACAGTAGGAGTGAATAGTTGGAAAAGTCGTAAGAACATTTCCTGCCCATAATGTTCAGGTAGAGTTCGATGTTCTGTTAATTCTATGAAACCTATATGAGGTTTTGCGGGCATTGGAAGAGGTTCAGGATTTGAATCCTCTGAGGATGAATTTAGCTCTGAACTATTTCGTTCCTTAGAAAGAGTTGCGATCGATACTGCGCTACCAGCATTATTTCTTGCCGCTCTTGTCCTAATTTCATATCTTCTTTGAGGATGTGTAATTGCCGTGTCAGTGCGCGTGTTATATTGATTTATTGTGGAAGTGGGAGTCGAGCGTGCTAGCATGTTCGCGGCTGCCTTTGCCACCATATTTTCGGTGCGTGCCTTGTTAAGAGCTTGCCTTAGATTCAGCCGACTGATTTTCACATTTTTTGATACAGGTAGATCAATCAATTGTTCATTGGGGACATCATTTTTAGATAGCACATCGGAAAATTTAGAGGGGTCATCGAGTGCTAACGCAGCATTTTTCTGATCCTCAATATTTTTTTCTTCCACAAGATTCATTTGCAAAAACCTTGAAGCATCAGGAAAATTTCCAAAATTGTCTGAACCGATACCAACATTGCCAACCATTCGTTGAGAAATTGGTTTTAGCAAAGACATTTGAGAGAAACTATTTGGGCCTTGCAACGAGCACGTATCAGTTGTAGTTAAAGTCTCGTTAGCCATTTCGCACATAGACTTAGACCACCGCATTCCTATTGTTTCCTCCGATATTTGAGGTAAGTTATCCTCTTCATCAGAGTCCTTAATTTCATAAACAACTTTTTCTTTTTGGACCTCAAAGTACTTTTCGATAAGTTTTTGTTCTGTGTTCCGAAATAGTACGGTTGAAGGCAATATTTCGATAGTGGGATCGTTTATAAGCGGTACCACATGCCGAGAAATCATAGCATTTGTTGCTCCATAATCCATAGGAACATCGTTTCTTTTCAACATTTTTGAGAATTCATCAATTATTCGTCGTAACCGAAGGAATAGAAAGTGTTGTTCAGCATTTATCTCGTAAATTTCTGATTCAATTTCATCCAGAATTCTTTGCTTCTGCGCAGGATCCTGTAAGAAATTATGAAATTAGCAAGATTGTCAGACGAAAGACGACAGAGATATAAAAATATATACAATACATAATGGGCCGTATGCATAAGGTTTCTAAGCAAAGGTTTTTTCATAAAAGTTCAGACCTTTTACTCAATTTGATAAAATAAATTTAAGTGAAAGGTATTCAATTTGAATAAAACGGAATTGCTTATTTGTTATGAATGTACGGCCCACAAGGCTGGCAATTTTTTTTTTACTAAATATAATGATCTTTTCTAATTGTACTGATTATTTATGTGCATTTTTATATGAAACAAGTAATTTTTAGCAAAAAAAACCGACTTCAACTCCCATATAAAAAAAAAATATATATATATATATCTCAAGATCCACTGATCGGATCTTAACCAGATTAGTATGGGACTACCTTTCCGATGCAAAAAGAATTATCGAAATCGGTAAAAAAAAAAAATATTCCGACGAACTGATAACCTCCTCCTTTTTTGGATGTCGGTTAAAAACTACTGAAGTAGCGCAGATTTTCAGCACGACTGCACCATGGACTAAACCAGGGATGGGCAGAGTTTTGGCACTTAAAGCCGCCAAAAAGCCAGCAAGTGCCACGCAAGAGCTAAATCAGTTCCCAGGCTAAAAGGTATGTACAAAATATATTAAAATCATAATATATATTAGTAATGAGAGTCGGAGTACAAGAAATTTGAATACGCTCTTCTTCCCACTTAACGCTGGCTCTTGACGTTACCCCTCATCTACCACCTAAATGTGCCAAGCCGGCTCCTAAGTGCAAAAGGCTCCTGGGAGCCACTTTGCCCATCTCTGGACTAAACCAAGTTGCCGTGTGTTACGATTTGCGCCATGTATTATTTTGCGCTTAAGTCTTATTCGGAGACACCACGATTGTGTTGTGGTAGTACGCCTTCGTTGACTCATTTACCATAACTATTGCGCGCTTTTCTTAATACCAATTGGGCAGAAAAAAATTAAATTAAATTTTTAGGATGCACAAGGACGAATAGGAAATTTTTTAAGCTGATAAGGTTAAAAGGACGAAATTCGAGAATGTAAACGAGTTTATATTAATCCTGAACATACAATTTTTGCAAAAACAAATATTGCGAAATTTCAAGCATAAAATTTTAAAATAACATTTACAATATTTACCAGCCAGCCCTTCTGCACCAGAAACTTGAATCTGTTTAAATTCTACAGGATTTCCTCATCAATTTTATACCCATACTTCTTCTCTAAGCACATTTCTCTGAATTTTTAAAATCATTTTTAAATTACTATATTTGGCCCATGGTTTCACGAATATATTGATTTTTTGTGTAAAATTTACTACCGCACGGTATTATATGTATAATGAGCTAGACATTTATGAAAAGATAATTATTATTAAATAAAAGAGTAAATATAGCTAATGCTGGTCAAGAAAAGGAGTTTTTATTATGCCATCAGTGAAAATTACAAATCCCGAAAATCCCGGGATTATTTGCCCCAGGATTTTCGGGACCTAAAAAAGGCTGGGATCCCGGGATTAAAATACCTAGTACTCATCCAATTTATCTTGCTATACTACATATACTATGCAGATTCAAGGGCTCAGAATCCGAAAGAAAAATTTTCACTACTAAATATTTAAAAATGTTCCTAAAACTTCCCTGTTTTTGTTTTTAGTAGGGTGGGAGCGTAGCTCATAAAATTAGAGCGAGACCGGGTTTAACTTACAAAACCTTTCATTATTGAATCATGACCATGTAAATGCACCATTAAGCAAAAAATAATAATCATTTTAGGAAATGGCGTGTAGTCCATTTCCGCTGTGGCGTATGTAGTGTATATTTTTAGGCGCAATATTTAACTACTTCCGGCAGGCGACATCTACCTCTCGTATGTATTGTATGGCCTTTGATATGATACCTGCCGACGAGTTTGATATCTAGACTTTTTTATAGAAACTTTGATTATAATCTATAATTATAGCAAAGGTGTCTGGACATACAACATTGCATGTTGATAAAAGCGTTGTAAAAAAATACTAATTTTTCACTTAATTGAAACTTGCATTTTGGCATTTCCATGGTTAAGAACATGCCATTCGTACGCCTTTGAGGTGATAAAAAATAACTTCCAATTATATTTAGATTTTTTGTGTTTCGATAGCATTTTAGAAGCAATATGTTTTGTTCAAAAGGTAGGTTTTCCTTTCTGTGTTGCCGGAGAAGAGGTGCCGGAAATCCCTCTACATAGGCGGCCTTCGGCTGCGCTTTCGAATCGTAAGCCTTATAGGGTGTTTACATGAGGCGATTTTACAGTAAACTTTTAGTTGAAAGCAACAATCGCCTGGTGTGAACGTAAATTGCCCGGAAAATTGCCTCATGTGAACACCCTTTTACAACGCAGAATTCTCCTTTTTGTGTTTCCGGAGAAGAGAGGCGGAATTTCTCTAGGGATTATAACCCTTACTACGCAAAATTCTCCTTTATATTAATTTAAAGGCACTTGTACTTCTAAATAATGAACATTTCTTTAGCATTATTTACGTAATTATTTTTTTAAAAAAGTTATTTTATGATTCTAACAAATAAATAAATAAATACTCTGTTTTTTACTATTTTTTGGGTTTTAAATATGAAGACAAATATAAATTATGTACATGAACGGAAAGATAAGTTATTTATCTTTATTTTGACACATTACTTTTTTCAATCGGTTATGTAGTTCATAATATATTACTATTAAAAAAAAAAAAAAATAAAAATAATTTACCACTAAATATCTTTAAAACTAGAAGGCCCCTGCACCAAAAAGTGGAGGAGCCCAGATTTCTAATGGCATAGTCAGAATTTGTAGCCCCGGTTATCGTAATCTTCCCAAACACAAGTTTACAATTTATATAAGTACACTCCCATAGTAAAAATTAACAAATTTCTTTCCTACACAGCAACGCAGAAAGTTGAATTCTGCGTGTAAGGGTTATAATCTCTATAAAAAGTTGCATCCACTGGGTATCTAAAGGCATATCAAGTGATTGAATTGACAGACGTAAACGAGGGATTTTAAATCAGATATTTTTCTTTGAAATGCAGTGGCGAATGGATAATAGATACAAGAATGACAAGGTTGTTAAAATATTTTAAATCGCACCAGAAGATCGATTCAAATGCATACTACATAACAAATGTACGTGTTCCGTTTTTTCCTGACCGCAGGTCCCTTTTAACTTTACGTGTCACATATATTTCATATTTGCGCCGGGTATTTAATGTTCGGCTCCGCCCGAACTTAGACTTTCTTACTTGTTTTTATTTATGACACTCTTGCAGCAAATGAGCGATATGTATTTAACTCGACCGCAGGTCAATTTCACATGTAGTTTTATTTTTGGTTCTAGAAAGTTTAAATGGCGAGTAAAACGTGGGTTTAAAGAAAGGGTGAAAAATGCCTTATTAAACAACTTAATATTGTTACTTACTGCGCCTTCTTCCTGTTGAAACACATCAATGACCATCTAAGAATGAAAATACTTTGTATTCATAGATATCACGATTGTAATTTACTTTCTTTACCTGGTGCACTTTAATATGAGCCTTAAGTGAACGCTGACAGTAAACAATATCATTTTTGATTTCCTTTGGAAATTTGAAGAAATTATCCAAATAATATTGAAAACCACGAAAATTCCCGGTCAACATGCTTACTACTACTAAAACCAACAGAACAAAATTTGTTTAAATGTCGCGACCAAAAACGTTACAAATGCTTTTCCTATTAACATCAACTCACAACCATTGACATTTGCACATTACGGAAAACTGCATCAAAACGCCAAAATCACAGGCGCAAAAACTATTGTGAATGCTCCTCCGCTCAGAGAACGTCAGTTCTTGCAGCGTTGCCGTTTGATAATTTTGATTCAAAAAGTAGGGGGTTTTCCGTAGTGTCATAGTAGGGCGATTCATAAAACTTTGCAAAATATCATTGTTGTCGCAATGGCAACGTTGCGAATTAAGTAGTTTTTAAAAATGCCGCGCGTAAGTTCAATGATTGCAAGCTCAAATAATATGGCAATGTCGCAATTATGTCGCAAGAAAGTTTCCAACAAAAGTAATCAGCTGTGTTGCAAAGTGGCAAATTTTGCATCAAATGCGACATTTGCATCAACTTTACGATGGTTCATGAATCCCATTAGGTAGAACGTGGGGCAAAGGATGTAGGTCAGAGAACGTTTATGAATTGAGATTTTTTTGGCCGTGATCAAAATACATGTGGTTGTTGTTTTTGTATTCTTGCTACCACCTTGTATAAATTCGCCTTGAGTTTGGAAGGGCTGCAAAACTATCGATAGCAAATATTCGATAGTTTCGATACTTTGAAAAATACTATCGATATTTTCGATAGTATCGTATACTATCGTATTGTATATGTAAGGAAACTTCAACTCCGAACAAAATTTGTATAATTTATACATATGCACATACGTAAATGTAAATATTGCACATATATAAGTATAAATATTACAATCTTAAACGTGAAATTCTAAATATTTTCCTTAGTTAAATTCACAGCGTCACTTAAGTAAGATCCCAAAACTTCAAAGCACCGGCTCTATCGAAACTATCGTCTATCGCCCGAAAACAATTGATGTTTATCCAAAAATTAAACTATCGATACTATCGATAGTACAATCGCTAGTTTTGCAGCTCTAAGGTTTGGCTAGCAGCAAGGCGAATTTATACAAGGTGGTGTTGTAAGATTAGCTGATTTCTTCGCCTTACATGTAATTTGTTTTTGCTTTTACTGATTTGACAGCACACACATCAAAGCAAAAAACAAAATACATGTAAACTTTGGGGCGAATTGATATTTGACATAGCACCCGCAATACAAAATACATGTGGTGGTTGTTTTTGTAGTCTAAATTCGCCACTAACCAAGGCGAATTTATACCAGGTGGTGCTACTGACGAATTTAGTGTGTTTGTTGTAATATGAATTCGCCTTGTTTACAACAAACATCATTTTTACATTAATAAGCACTGCGGCGAAAATCTAAATTCACCAGTAATACCACCTTGTATAAATTCGCCTTGGCAAGCTGCTTGTGTAGTGTATTTCGCTCTTATGTTGAAGGAAAGCAGTCGAGTATTGCAAGCAAATAATTAATGGTTGCCATCCCTAGGTACATTGCCAAAGTGAATTTTCTGTGGAACTGCAAGTGGAGAATCGGTGTTGCGTCACGTTACAATCTATTTATATTTAGTCACTTCTGAACTAAACGTGTAAGTTTTTTGGCCGTTACAAAATATTTGGGTAAAATATACATCCAGAGCGATATGGCTCGAGGGGCTCCTAACCTGCAATGTTATATAATATAATGTGTAGTAATCACAACTTTTTTTCAGCCAACAATGTCTATTGTAAGGAATGCTCGCTGTTTGGCTTTGCGCGGAATAAATACAATGCAAAAGCGTGGATTCGCTGATGAGATGAAATTAACTTTTGCCGCTGCAAATCAAACTTTTTATGATCAAGCAGAAGTTCGTCAAATCGATGTTCCTTCATTCAGTGGAAGTTTTGGCATACTTGCGAAGCATGTGCCAACTTTAGGTAATTTATAATTTAATTTTTATATCCGTATATAAAATCACATGTTTTTGCTTTATAGCCGTTTTAAAGCCCGGCGTGGTGCAAGTTATCGAAAACGACGGAAAGACTTCAAAATTCTTCGTATCTAGTGGCTCAATTACAGTAAATGAAGATTCATCCGTTCAAGTGTTGGCCGAAGAAGCACATAAAGTTGAAGATATTGACATTTCTGAGGCAAAGCAGATCCTATCACAGTATCAATCACAATTAAATTCCGCGTCAAGTGAAGAAGTAAGACACGTTTAAATTGTGAATTTGATTGCTAAGTAATTTGCCCCCAATTTTGAGAATGGTAGGCGGAATGGATGACGCTTGGTTCTTGAAAGAGCATAAAAAGCAATTGTCATTTGTTATTGTAACAGCATGTTCAACAGTTTAGTTCCTGAAGTAGCATTCTTTGGCAAGATATAAATCTGGGTAGTTTCGGTTGTCATGAGAACGCCATCGGTTTCGCTATCTTCAGTACTTTTGCGCAGTACTGCATCATGATACAAAAATTTAAATACTTTTATCATGATACTGCATAACTTGCACGTTTTTTTTTCTAACATACACAAATTTAAAAAAACACATCACAGCAAATTAAAAAAAATTATATCAAATAATTTTTTTAAGCTTAATCTCCGTTTTTAACCGACTTCCCAAAAAGGACGAGGTAATCAGTTCGTCGGAATATTTTTTTATATATTTTTTATTTTATTTATTTTATTTTTATGTATGTTACCGCATACCTTTGGACCACATCAACCGATTTCGAAAATTTGTTTTTGTATTTTGCATTTTAGCAGATAGTGTCTCAGAGGTGGTCCCATACTAATATGGTTTATATCCGATTATTGGATCATGAAATATATATATATATGTATATATATTTGTATAAGAATTGAAGTCGGTTTTGTTTTTTGCTTAAAAATTACTTGTTTAATAATTTGTCGTTGAGTTCACAATACGCAAAATTTTGGTGGGCAAATTACTACCGTACCTTCTTTTGCCAATAAAGTATATGTATGTATTACAAATTTGTTTAATGGTTCCAGGCTAAAGCGGAAGCTGCCATTGCTGTTGAGTGTGCTGAGGCTCTTGTCCGAGCTGCGGAGTAAACTATTGCATTCAGTTCAGAAGGATAAATTTGCACTGAATGAAAAGTAAAAATTTGAAATTTAACGCTGGTATAAAATATTTGATCAACAAAAATCCGGTATAAATAAAACAATGTCAACCAAAATACCCTGATTCTTAATATACATACTTAAGTGGGTAATTTGCAAACAAAGTGTAAATGGCATTACAGTTCAAAATGACTCCTCCACGAGTATGGTCGTGTAGACCTGTCGAGTTTTTAACCGACTTCGAAAAAAGGAGGAGGTTATCAGTTCGGAATATTTCTTTTTTTTTTATATACGTTACAGCATAACTTTGGATCACGTCAACNTTTTTGAAATTAACGATATATCTTAGAATTTATAATTTTAGTAAATCCACTTTAATTTTTAATTGTACAAAATTTATTACATATATACATACAGTATCGGCCATTCAATAGCAACCCCATTTCAAAGTTATATATTTTCTCACTCATGTTGGCTTATTTATTTCTGGGAATTTACAATAAAAATACAGTTAATTTTCTAACAAAAAAACATATAAACTCAATTTTAAAACTTCATAGAAAACTACAAAAAAATATAACAAATACACAGGCGGAGCAGGAACGCAGCACAGCAGAATCGTCCAAAAAATGAATAAATGGTTCATTAGGTTTCGAAATACACCAGGGTTGTTGCGAATATTCGCATTCGCATTCGCAACCGCGGAACTTCCGCATAAATTTTAACATTCGCATTCGCTTTCGCATTCCCAATAATCAATGCGGAGCTTTTGCGAATGCGAATATTGTGCAAGTGCACTGAAAAAACGTGTATCTAGCAAACAAAAAATTGTAGCCAACATTTTTTGCCTGTGGAGATGCTACGTTAATCGCTAGTTTTTTTCTAAGTGTAATTATTTTTTTTTCTCATAAAACTTAGTATGCTTAAGTTCCGTGTTCCCATTTGTTAGTCTTTCAGCTCAGAAACAAAAACATTTATTTTAATTTTGTGTAAATTGTCAAATTTAGCAAGCATCGAAATAAAGATGAAATGATATGTACTAAATAAGTTGACACACAAGTTCACAAATTAAATAAGAATTAATTCAAGGTGAATTTTATATCTATTGGGTATAGTATGGAAAGGGCTTAACTACCTAAAAATCCAAAATTCACTTTTTGATTGATTATGATGAATTTCATCGAATCATAAGTCCCCACATCGTTTTAGGCAATAAACAAATTTAGTTCGTTTAGGTTTTTTGTATTTCAGCGACAATGTGAAATACGCCCTTTTAAAATAGTATTAACGATATGTTGAAGATTTGCGTTCATTCGCCTCAAAAAAATATATCAAAACACATTGAGCGCATGGAATAGAACAACAAGACGGATTTGATGGGTTATGGTACCGACAGCGGTGAGTAATTAATTGTGATGCCTGCAACTAGGAAAAGCCGAGCTCATCTAACTAATAGAAAAAAAACTATATGCAAGCTATTCAATACTGGTCGTGATTCCAATAATTCAAATTATTATAAAAAGCGGGGTACCGTATTCGTTAGGTATGCCTATTTTTCTTACCAAACACTTGAATTATGAATCGCAAATTTTTTGAGTCCTTCAACACAACCTGCACTAAACTCGCAAAAAAAATTTGCTTAAAACTTGTATTTAAAAACGTAAAAAAGGTAATAAAAATGCGTTTAAAGCTTTCATTTGTTATTTTTTGATTGATTTTATTTGGAGATTTTTGCAAATGTCTTATCCACACGTTTGTTAGTTTTATAAAGAAAATAATTTTTACACTGAGGTTCACGCTGGTTTTTACCGCCGCCAGGTTATTCCTCTGCTTTTAATATATGTCTCTTTGTATGTTACACTCCATTGATATGTCCAAACGTCGCTCCACTGATACACGATGGCAATACCGCTGAGGGCCAGAACCACGTGCAAAAGTGTCTGCTTATATATGTATCATACGTTTTATTCCTTTCAATTCTTTATCAATTATATTAAATTAAAAGGTGTATTGTGCTTTAATGGTCCACAAGTAACCAGGTTATTCCTCTAATTATTAGTTATGTCAGAAGGTATTATTCAGATTAAAAATTTAAGTCGCTGGATACTAGGTCCTCATGTCGCCAGGTTATTCCTCAATTTGGTAATTTATAGAATTTTAATGGCAGGGAACTATGTCCTCACCTCACCAGGTTATTCCTCCAATTTGATAGTTTTATAATTATTCGTCAAATTATATTTTTAGGTTGTGATTGAAAAATTTTTTTATGGAACTGTACGATGCAGTTATGTATGTTCCTTTTTTATATCACAGCTACTTCGTTCATACGATAGACCGTATCAAGGGGTCCGCTTTAACATTTTCATTTAATTTTATAATCTACTTAGATTTTTTTTTTGTGGAGAGTGTTGCGCATTTTCTTCCATATAGCACATGATCAAAATATTTTTTTACATGGAAAAAAATCCGCAGCACCCTCGACAAAAAAAATTCTAAAAAATCAACGGTAATTTTTAGCGACTTGAAACTTGCACTTTATTATACTAAAATTGAATGGGCTACAAACCTGCATACCCGAAAATTTTCCAAATATTCTAATTAAAAATTTTGAAATTTTGATGACAATTTTTTGAAGTTTGATTAATTTTTTTACAATTTGTGCAAGCTTTGCAACTTTTGTTATTTTGGTTTCTGATATAGATTGAATTATATTTTAAAAGAAAATTATTAAAAATAAATAAATAAACGTAATTTGCAAGCAATATCGTTTTGAATTTCGTTGCTATATGTATATATACAGATGCGTGCAACTAATTAGCAACGAAATTCAAAACGATATTGCTTGCAAATTACGTTTATTTATTTATTTTTAATAATTTTCATTTAAAATATAATTCAATCTATATCAGAAACCAAAATAACAAAAGTTGCAAAGCTTGCACAAATTGTAAAAAAATTAATCAAACTTCAAAAAATTGTCATCAAAATTTCAAAATTTTTAATTAGAATATTTGGAAAATTTTCGGGTATGCAGGTTTGTAGCCCATTCAATTTTAGTATAATAAAGTGCAAGTTTCAAGTCGCTAAAAATTACCGTTGATTTTTTAGAATTTTTTTTGTCGAGGGTGCTGCGGATTTTTTTCCATGTAAAAAAATATTTTGATCATGTGCTATATGGAAGAAAATGCGCAACACTCTCCACAAAAAAAAAATCTAAGTAGATTATAAAATTAAATGAAAATGTTAAAGCGGACCCCTTGATACGGTCTATCGTATGAACGAAGTAGCTGTGATATAAAAAAGGAACATACATAACTGCATCGTACAGTTCCATAAAAAAATTTTTCAATCACAACCTAAAAATATAATTTGACGAATAATTATAAAACTATCAAATTGGAGGAATAACCTGGTGAGGTGAGGACATAGTTCCCTGCCATTAAAATTCTATAAATTACCAAATTGAGGAATAACCTGGCGACATGAGGACCTAGTATCCAGCGACTTAAATTTTTAATCTGAATAATACCTTCTGACATAACTAATAATTAGAGGAATAACCTGGTTACTTGTGGACCATTAAAGCACAATACACCTTTTAATTTAATATAATTGATAAAGAATTGAAAGGAATAAAACGTATGATACATATATAAGCAGACACTTTTGCACGTGGTTCTGGCCCTCAGCGGTATTGCCATCGTGTATCAGTGGAGCGACGTTTGGACATATCAATGGAGTGTAACATACAAAGAGACATATATTAAAAGCAGAGGAATAACCTGGCGGCGGTAAAAACCAGCGTGAACCTCAGTGTAAAAATTATTTTCTTTATAAAACTAACAAACGTGTGGATAAGACATTTGCAAAAATCTCCAAATAAAATCAATCAAAAAATAACAAATGAAAGCTTTAAACGCATTTTTATTACCTTTTTTACGTTTTTAAATACAAGTTTTAAGCAAATTTTTTTTGCGAGTTTAGTGCAGGTTGTGTTGAAGGACTCAAAAAATTTGCGATTCATAATTCAAGTGTTTGGTAAGAAAAATAGGCATACCTAACGAATACGGTACCCCGCTTTTTATAATAATTTGAATTATTGGAATCACGACCAGTATTGAATAGCTTGCATATAGTTTTTTTTCTATTAGTTAGATGAGCTCGGCTTTTCCTAGTTGCAGGCATCACAATTAATTACTCACCGCTGTCGGTACCATAACCCATCAAATCCGTCTTGTTGTTCTATTCCATGCGCTCAATGTGTTTTGATATATTTTTTTGAGGCGAATGAACGCAAATCTTCAACATATCGTTAATACTATTTTAAAAGGGCGTATTTCACATTGTCGCTGAAATACAAAAAACCTAAACGAACTAAATTTGTTTATTGCCTAAAACGATGTGGGGACTTATGATTCGATGAAATTCATCATAATCAATCAAAAAGTGAATTTTGGATTTTTAGGTAGTTAAGCCCTTTCCATACTATACCCAATAGATATAAAATTCACCTTGAATTAATTCTTATTTAATTTGTGAACTTGTGTGTCAACTTATTTAGTACATATCATTTCATCTTTATTTCGATGCTTGCTAAATTTGACAATTTACACAAAATTAAAATAAATGTTTTTGTTTCTGAGCTGAAAGACTAACAAATGGGAACACGGAACTTAAGCATACTAAGTTTTATGAGAAAAAAAAATAATTACACTTAGAAAAAAACTAGCGATTAACGTAGCATCTCCACAGGCAAAAAATGTTGGCTACAATTTTTTGTTTGCTAGATACACGTTTTTTCAGTGCACTTGCACAATATTCGCATTCGCAAAAGCTCCGCATTGATTATTGGGAATGCGAAAGCGAATGCGAATGTTAAAATTTATGCGGAAGTTCCGCGGTTGCGAATGCGAATGCGAATATTCGCAACAACCCTGGTGTATTTCGAAACCTAATGAACCATTTATTCATTTTTTGGACGATTCTGCTGTGCTGCGTTCCTGCTCCGCCTGTGTATTTGTTATATTTTTTTGTAGTTTTCTATGAAGTTTTAAAATTGAGTTTATATGTTTTTTTGTTAGAAAATTAACTGTATTTTTATTGTAAATTCCCAGAA